TTCATAAACGTCCCTCGATATCAAACAACAGTATATTAATTACGCATATCCAGGTCTCGCGGGCGATTCTTTTTCTCCCAGGTACACCCAGCGGCAGCAGGGGCATGCACTCTGTATAGATGCTGCTTGAGAGAGATTCCACGTCCCATATATATACACGTATGCAGGCAAACATGTGCGGCCGTGTATGTCATCACATGTATGTCCGATGTATAGAGTAGAGAGTATAGTATAGAGAGAGGCGAGAGACTAGAGAGACTAGAGAGTATAGAGTAAGAGGTCCAGGTGTACAACACCTCTAGCTTCCGCTCATAGGGTCTATGTCCCCCAGGGTACTATCGGAGGGTGCCCTGGGTAAGGTTCGATATATCGGAACGTACCCTTGTAGGGCCTACTATCCAATATGCCGGACCGTACCTCGCCTACTCAACTAACGAGTCTAGGGAGTCGCCTACGCCTACTCCCTAACCCTAACCATATAAGATAGTTACCATGCAGGGTACGTTCCGATATATCGAACCATACACAGGGTACCCTCCGGCAGTACCCTGGGGGACATTGACCCTCTCAGCCTAGCTTCCATCTACGCTTATACTTATAGTTCTGTAATGTATACTAAAGGGTTCTGGTACACACGCACCTACCCTCTGTCTACACCCACTTATAGTCCTGTTGTAAGGTATAGTACTAAAGTGTTCGTGCATACACCCACAGCATCTGTATACACCTACTTAATTATCTCTTCACACTCTCTATCCCACTCTCTCTCTCTCTCTCACGCATACGCGCACACACGCACGCACACACACACACACACACACACACACACACACACACACACACACACACAGACGCGCGCGCACGCACGCACGCACGCACAGCCGCACACACGACACACACACAACAACACACACACACCACACACAACACACACACACACACCACACACACACAACACACAAGCGACACACACACAGCACAACACACACACACCACACACACACACACAACACACACACACACACACACACACACACACACAAACCACATCAACACACACACACACACAACACCACACACACACACACACACACACACACACCACACACACACAACACATATATATACTATAATATACACACACACACAACGCTAGAATTGAAATATAATTATAAATCGCCACGCGCAATTTCTCATATATAAAACTGTCATACTCCCCTAATCACCGCTTTTACTGTATTACTCTCTCTTGTTATTCTCTCTCTAACAACACACACACACACACAACACACACAACACACACCACACACACACGCACCAACACACACACAACACACACCACAAACACAACACACACGCACAGTACATTCTTCTCTATTTTTCACAAATCCACATCATCATCTACACTTTCATCACCCATTTTAGTTATTAATATATTTATAATAATTTTTATCAATTCCATTTTTCCTAACCCCCCCCCACCCCACCTCTCATACAACTCTCATACTCATCTCACTGTACCCATCATATACCCAATCCACCCCCTCAACTACTAATTTTCATCATGATACCATACTATCACAATACACAATCTACTAATTACTTTAGTCATAATTCTCTCTCATCTCATCATCTCTCTCATCTCTCGATACATACTCAATCTCATACTTCTCATAATCCATCTATATTCTGTCCATATAATCTCCCAACTACCCTCCCATAACTCTCTCGCTTAATCCTCCATTACAACTATCCCACATGCATACCTCTCTTGCAATCTGCTCTCTGGACGGCAAGGATACAAGATATGTGTAAGTGAATGTGTCATGCGACCTAGAATCACCCACGCCGCGATGGCATAAAACCGCACTGACAGGAAGACCGCATCAGCCGCTAAACGCCGACTGCCAGACCGCCAGACACAACAACGCGACGCGCCGCCCGACTTACACAATCTGACATTGCAACAACTACGACTAAGCTAGACCGCAGAAACTCCTCGCATACACAAGCGTATCCAGAGCGATTACTTGCTGTCTACAACGAAACACGCCGTCGGCCCAACACATATACATCCCGGCTCCGTAAACCGACCACTCAATATAGCCATAGAGGGGAGGAGCGGGAGAGCGGGGAGAGAGGATGCGCGGGGGAGCGGGGGGAGGGGCGACGGCGACAGGGGGGAAGAACGGGGAGAGAGGATGAGGGGTAGAGGAGTATTGCGGGGAGCGGGGGCGGGGGAGCAGCTGGCGAGGGGCTGCGAGTGGGTTAAGAAGGTGGAGACGAGGATGAGGGGAAGAGGATTGCGGGGAGCGGGGGGAGAGGAGCGAGGGGGCGGACGAGGGGCGAGGGACGGGAGAGGGGGAGAGAGGAATGCGGGGGAGAGGGTGAGAGTCGGGGTGGGGAGGCGGAGAGAGGGGGTATGACGAGGGAGGAGATGGTAAGGACGAGTAGCGAAAGAAGGGAAGAGTGTGGTCTCTCTCTCTAACTTTTCAATCTATATCTGCACTTCTCTCTCTCTCTCTCTCTCTCTCTCTCTACTCTCTTCTCTCTCTCCTCTCTCTCCGCTCTCTCTCGCTCGCTCCTTCGCTCTCGTCCTTTCCTCGCTTATTTTCTATCCTTTCCATTGCTTTCCATTTGGAATGCAGAACACAAGTTAATCGCTTCATTTCTACTAAGAAATTCACGCTGCTGCGAGATTTCCCCCCACACTATATATTACCAAAGCCATCACTTCTCGTCCGTCCTCCACCTCCTCCCCTATCCTCCGCCACTCCCCTCTTCCACTCCCTCTCTTCTCCACCTCCCCTCCTTACCCACCTCTTCCTCCTCCTCACCACATCTTCCTCCTCCATCACCCACTCCTTCCTCACCACCTTCCTCCCTCACCCCCCACCCTCCTCGCCGTCACCCTCCTCCTTCTCTCTGTACTCCTTCCTTCCCAGCCCCGCGCTGGCTGGCTTCCCCCATGATCCCGCCTCAGCGGATCAAAACCTGGCTGATAGCGTATCATGACAGCGGGCGTTGCTTGACGCCCATATCGCATGTCCAGCATCCTTGTCGCGGTTGTCCAACATCCGGGACTCTAGGTCACACAGCAAGCCGGACACGGGGCGGCGCCACCATCGCTCCTGTCGACGTCCGCACGAGCCGTATAGTAAGGTATAGTGCCTTAGCAGTGCAGTGTCAGGGAAGTGCGTGTATGTATAATAGATAAAAGATTCCACGCGTCTCTCGCTCTCTTCTCTTCTCTCTCTCTCTTCTCCACCCTCTCCGTTCTCTCTCTCTCTCTCTCTTCTCCCCCTCATCGTTCTCTCTTCTCCCCCTCATCGTTCTCTCTTCTCTCCTCTCCCCCCCTCTCTCTCTCTCTCTCTCTCCCCCTCTTTCTCTCTCGCTCACGCAGCCAGATGGCATGCCGGTTGTTTACGTTAGAAAAATCAGTCGGTTTACTTTCTAGCGCCGGCTGCTTAATTTCTACGTCATGGAGAACCTGTGATAGATTCTACATGCTGAGGAAAAGAAGAATGTTTGTACTCCTCTCTCTCTCTTTCTCTATCTGTCTCTCTCTCGCTCGTCCATTCACTTTTTCGATCTTTCACTCACTCTATTTTTCACTAGCTTTCTCTCTCTCTCTCGGTCTCTCTCTTTCTATCTCTTACGCACTCTCTCTCTCTCTCTATCTCTCACTGTGTCTCGACTCTCTTGCACTCTCTCTCTCTCTATCTCTCACTGTGTCTCGACTCTCTTGCACTCGCTCTCTCTGTTTCTCGTACTAGATGTAAAATATCCTTGGATAATTGAAAATGGGAAAAGATATCAAATTTAAGCAGAATAGAAATTCTTAGAATACGTTTTTATTCCACGCATGTATTTATTCAGAGAGACAAACTATGTACAACACTTCTCTCTCACCTTTCTCTCTTCTGCTTTCTCGAACTCTTTTGCTCTTTTTATTCGCGATATACTTATACATGGATATTCTACATGTTCATGATACTTATCGTTAGCGTGACGTAATTAATACGATGCTAACCTTCTGTAAATGCAATCAATTTTAACTCTAGTCGTGTTTAAACACGGTCGTCTGATACAGGAAACATGTGTCGTCGCGATACTTTCATTCCTCCTCACCAGGTGGGGCTGCCGAACCGCTGAACGACTTGCAAGTGGGAGTCGAGGTCTTTCTGAACTTTTTTCCGCATGTAGAAGATGGGGCAGTCAGAGCTGAAAGACAACACGAGACCGATTCACACAAATGCGAAAGGAAAACTACATAAATACACACAATTTCCGTGAACAAATCACAGGGTAAAACAAAATAAATGCATCTGCGTGCATAATCTCTGTAGTAGTACATTTATACTAGCATGTATATATATATATATATATATATATAACCTCCCACAGGCACACACGCACACACACACACACGCACGCACGCACGCACGCACGCACGCACGCACGCACGCACGCACGC